TGTTAATTTTTTTTTTTTTCATTTGTCGCTGCAGCTTCCGCATCAGGCTGCCCACTGAGAAGGAACTAGAGATGAAGGTCTCAAAGGCTGTTAAAAAAACGAGATTTTATGAGTCCACTTTACTGTCTGCATACAAGGTTTGAAATTAACACTTCCATTGTTCTCTTTCTGGCCGACCATTGCACATTCATAATTCATAATGAGTTTATTATGAATATGGGTGATGCTCAAATTCTCCCATGTTTAGATAAAGAAAAAACCATAATGATGCTGGTATTATGTGTTGATTTCCATTGCAGGCATATGTGCAAAAGTTGGTGTCACTGCAAAATCAGTCTGTCTATAAGCGGATTGCAATCCGTTGCTTATGTACTTTGCTAGCAGCCGTACCACACTTTAACTTCAGGGACAGCTTGTTGGCAGCAGTTGTTAAAAACATTAGCTCCCAAGATGATGTCGTGAGGTAATTGGAATAATTTCTCGTTCTGCTGTATTCCTTAGTTTTATTAAGCTTATTGGAGTACACTCATCAATCCAGTGTTTGGGAAACACTATAAATTTAAGCTAGACGAAAGGGTGGTTTTTTTATCATTGCGGCCTCTGCCTTTTTTATTTTAATTGAATGTGGCGGAGTCTTAATGTTTTACTAGCAATGGAAATGATTGATGGTGGTTCCTAAATATTTTCATGGTGGGTCTCTTGATAGTCCATTATTGTCTACTATTATGATGGATTGTTTCACTCCCTAGCTTAATGTTTATTTCTGATGATAACATTATTGGTCCTGGTCAGAAAACTCTGCTGCACAGCAGTTAAGTCACTTTTTGCTGATGAAGGGAAACATGGCGGTGAGGCTACTGTGGAGGCTGTTAAATTGATTGCTGACCTTGTAAAAGCTCATAACTGCAAACTGCATCCTGATTCTGTCGAAGTAAAAAATCTTCTCGTCTTTTTGTATTTTTTTGTCTTTTATGCTCTAAGATACGTTGTCTAGAATATGTCAAGTCATATCTACGTAGTTTTATCCTGATTCTCATTTTGAAATGATTAACAAAACAAATGGACTTCACGACTAGTAAATTATCCTAAGGTCATGTTGTTTAATAATTTCTATAAAATGTTTGTGGCTCGTGCAATATAGTAACTAATAATAGTTGTGCATATCAGTGCACTTGAGTGCATCCATCACCTTAAGGATGTCCTGTCCTATTGAGATTTTTTAAGTAACACTGTGTGACAGAAATTAACAATAACTAAGAATGGACTACTCAGTAAGGAAATTCAGTGGTACAAAATTCAGGCAAGTAAGTTTCAGGGTAAACATGTTGTCTTCAGTAAGGAAATTCAGTGGTACAAAATTCAGGCAAGTGAGTTTCAGGGTAAACATGTTTTCTTACATGTATTTGTGTCAATCAATTGTTGCACGATGAATAATGATAAAAAAAAAATCACATGTATCTGTCTGTCCAAACAATCATTGTCTAAAGACGAAGTTATACCAATGTTGTCTGCATTACAGATTATTCTTTTCAATTGTAATCTTAATATCTCTTTTCTAGGAGTTTTTGTCATCTTAGTCATGTGATGATCTTGGGAAACATAGAAAGATATAGATGTGTTAATACAGAGAAAAAAGGATTAAAAATGAAGAAAAATCATAGAATTGGAAAACCTTGGATGAGTCAGAATGCTGTGATTCTTCTATTAAATGAATGATGGAATCAAATATTATGCTTTTGTTGCATCCTCTTATCAGTAAATTATTGCTCTGTCTATTAGGTGTTTTTGTCCTTGTCCTTTGATGAATCGCTTGGAAAATCAGAAAAATCAGAAATGGATAAAAAAAACCACAACAAAAAGTCCAAGAAGAGGAAAGGTTTGGATGAACCAAACCAAGTTCTTGAGAATGATAGAAAGAAAGTTAAGAAAGAGATGTTGTCAAAGACAAGGGAGGAGGTATATCTCACTTAAATTACTCAACTTACTTTGTTTGTTTTGTTATTATTACTTAATGATATTGGTATCCATTCAGGTAAGTGCAGAGTTAAAAGCTGCTTCATATGCTCAAGATCCTCAAGAGAGAAGAAGGATGCAGTCACAGACACTTTCATCTCTGTTCCAGGCATTCTTCCGCATCTTAAAGCATGCATTGCAACCAGTGTAAGTGCCTTCACTGCAACTAAGTGGAAAAGTTAGCACTTGAAATGTTCCTTATCTCATTTAATTTGAGCCCAAAAGACAGCAAATTGAATTTGTTGATGGTCTCCATATTTAATCAGAAAAGTATCACTTGAAACTGAAAAGCACGCTTCTAAGTTAAAGCTGGAAGCTGAAAGTGACTGTTGTGGCTTTGTGAAATTATGTAGACGGTGTATTGAAATAGAATGTAGTTTCTTGAGGCCAAAAGATTCTCATGCTATAAAAGTTTAGGAAAAAAAATTCTGTTAAAAGCTTAAGATATGCACATGGCCCATGGGTCAGATACACTAGACTGACATGCCATGATAAATTTCCAGTATCATATTGTCGAGAGTTGGACCAAAAGGGAAAATATCAATAACATCAGAATTGCCTGTTTTTAATCAACACCAGTTTTTTCTCCCATTTTTCCTTCTGGGGATTTACATTTTTAAGCGATTTACCATTCCATAATCTAAAAGGAAGTCCTGTTTCTCTTATGTCCGTTCAAACGTTTGTTCCTCAGGTCAGAAGCCAGTTCAGTCCCTGGTGCATCAGGAAGCGTTCCCTTGCTTGCCCCTTGTCTGGATGGAATTGGAAAATTTTCTCATCTTATTGACTTGGATTTTATGGCTGATCTCATGAACTGTCTGCGAAAACTTGCTGGCGGTGGCCATAAATCAGAAAATTCATCTGAAGAATCTTGTCATCTAACGGTGACTGAACGTTTGAGATGTTGCATTGTTGCGTTTAAAGTGATGAGGAACAATCTTGATGCTCTCAATGTTGATCTACAGGAGTTCTTTGTCCAATTTTACAATCTGATACTAGAGTATCGACCAGGGAGGTAGGCTGCAATGGTGTGAGAGTTTTAATCTAAAATGTGAATTTTTTAAGTTAATTGTTACAAGTTTTTTTAGATACAAGTTGTGCCTGGTTTCTGATATGACCAGCACTTGGTTTCTATTACGATGTCAGTTATCATATATTGCTCAGCTAACCACACCCGAAAAGTGACAATGAAGCGCAACTTGTTGGTAAGACGCTTCACCCATGACCGATAGGTCATGTGTTTGAGTCACCGAGTAGTGGAAGTGAGAACACTATTGATCCTATTTTAAAAGGAAAAAAAAAAAAAAACCACACCCCGAAAAGTATCATTAAATCGAGAATATATGTTTTTGTTCTATGGTATGTAACTTAATTTGCAATGTTTTCTTAATTTTTTATGTAGGGATCAGGGAGAAGTATTAGCTGAAGCTCTGAAGATAATGTTGTGTGATGATAGACAACATGATATGCAAAGGGCTGCAGCCTTTATAAAGCGATTGGCTTCGTTTTCGTTATGTTTTGGGTCTGCGGAGTCCATGGCGGGTGAGAATCTGAAATCTGAATGTTGTATATGTAAACCGGCTGCTTTTTGAGTATTATTGTTTCGGTTCTTATGATTATTCTTTTTTTCGTCTGGAAAATATTTCATCAGCATTGGTCACTGTAAAGCATCTTCTGCTAAAGAATGTCAAATGCCGTAATCTGTTAGAAAATGATGCCGGAGGTGGGTCTGTTGCTGGTGCGATTGCTGTAAGTCCTTTTTTGCCCTTTCACTACTCAAATGCATTAGGTTTTAGCCTTACAGAATAATAACCAAAGAACTATGGTCATTGTTCCAACTCCAAGGTGGTGCTTGGATATAGATTGTGCTTGGTTTTTTTTGCAATCACAACTCAAATTTAACTGCCCCAACCTTCCTCAATATTGTCTATATAATTAAATAATACCAATTGATCATCCTCGCACACCACATCAACTTTAATTCACTATTCATCTATTCAAATGATTTTAACGAGCATCACTTCCAATCACTTCTCTCCTACTTAACATCAAATCAACTTTAGTTATTTTAATGTAAATATTATGTTTAATACAAAATAAGTGTCTCAAACCTAACACAACCAATTTTTTCAAAATTAACTCTGGTTAAGAAGAAAAAAAAAAAATTAGAACCAAAATATCCAATCAAAAATTTATATTCAAGCACAACCCAAATAACCCACAAGGGTATGTTCAAATGAGCGGAGAGGAGGGGAGGTATTTTTAACGGAGGGGAGGGTGATGCAAAATAATTTTACCTTGTTCTACCTTTCATAGTTCGAACTCCAAATAACTATGTTTGGAGGAATTTTTTATGAAGGGAGGGTAAGGAAAATGGTAAACCTTGTTTGATTAGAAAATGAAGGGGTGGAAAAATAATGTTAGATTGACTAATTTACCCTTTTGAATGGTATGAATAAAACAATTAAATAATATAAATACTTAGGGCAGAAAGTAACTTTACATAATTAAAATA